ATGTCAGAGACTTTCAGGAAATTCATAAACACAACAGAAGTAGCAATATGCCCTCCCATTTAACCTCTTAAATCCCAAGTTATGAGTGAACTGAATCATAAGGTGTCAACATGCCCATTGCCAAATTTTGTTCATAAAGCACAGAGTAAAAAGTTTTAAAATGAGAAAGGAATTGGGACAGCAGGAGGTTGTAGTAATCAGCCAGAATAAAGACCAGAATACAAAATACAGGAATTCAGTTATTTCTCCAATTAAATATACTGATTTTTCTCTTAGTATTTGGGTAAATTCAGTTGCACATAAATACTGATAAACCCTCAGCATGCCCCCCCACACACACACATATACACATTTTCCCCTTCAAGCTATGTATGTCCCCCTTGCTCTCCGTTTCAAACTAGTAGAGAATGATTGACCACAGACGGTCCCATTTCTGCCGTACAGGTAAAAACACAATCAAGTATGCCAATTGCTCAAGGATAGAATGCCTCATTTCTTGAATTTCTTTCTCTACCTCTCTGCAGAGACTTTGAAAAGTGAGAGGGGGAGCCATGCCATAGTTAAGAGCATAGATTCAGAACTCATATTCCTTTAATTCAAATATTGTTTTCTATATTGTTAGAAAAGTATGACATAGGGCAAGTTATTATTCTTAACCCCACAGGACACTTTCTTTACCTGTCAATTAAAAATCATATTAACCAATAAGTAGTTGTGTGAATTATATGAACTATGTAATGTAATTAATTAATATAATTATATATAATATATGACATTACATTATGGAATAAATTATATATTTATACTAGTTATGATAATATAACTGATGTTGACATATAGATAATTAAACTTTCTTACTCTTTTTGTTCAATTATATTACACATTCAGTAGATTTTGTGTGGACTAGGATGGGAACCCACTCACCATGTATAAAATAATTTTCATGGGAAAATGGACTTTGAGTACCAAATACTCAGCTTACAAAAAGATTTCTCAACCATAGCCTATGCTCTTTGTAAAGTGTTTCATTGTATTGGTGCTGGGACTTCTTATACTTGCAAACATATTTCATGAAAGTCTCCTGGTTTGTCAATCACTTAACATAAACTTTATAAACTGCTATAATGAACTCAAGTCACAAACTTAAGCTTTGTAATTAAAAAGTCTTAGTGCAAATACTGCCTTAATGAACATTTATGGGTTACATATGGATTGTTTTGAGACTTCTTTGGAGAATTGTGGTAACTTCCAAGGTGAGGACTTTGATCTTTTCCAAAAGAGGAAATTGCCAATAAGGTAAATTCAATTGTTTCTCCAAATAGATGCACTGGTTTTCTCTTAGTATTTGGGTCAATTCAGTTGCACATCAGAGTTGTTGAAAACGTCAATGGTTATATGTTATTGCCAAGATAGTTACAGTTATTATGGAGATGTCTGAAATACTAGAAATGTCTAGGTTATACCGTGAAAACAATTTTATTTTTATTTTATTATTATTATTTTATTTACCATTTTATTTTTGCCAGTCATATTTCTAATATAAATATAGTCCATGCGTCATGGCCCTCTATTGCCTCGGCTTAGGAAAAATATAGCCTACTTCATGTTCTAATGTGTTCTGTTATAAAGACCTTCCTTGTTCAATGTCAGCTAGGAAAGAGAAAGATTTTGAAACTGTGAAGTTTGTCAACACAATTTTGTCAAGTTCCTGGGAGCACTTGTTAGCTTCCTTTATTTGTGGGTTTGCCTGAATCAAACATGTTGTGCTTAGCTTGATCTTGATGGTCCTCCATGTGATCATATGTCCTTATATATGCTACTCACAGAGCACTCTTTTTTCCTCCCTAGTCAGTAGTGGTAGTTAATATGATCACACATCAGGGTTTGCCAACTCAAAAATTGTTTTTTTTATGCTTCGCTTACCTTCTTATAATTCAACTTCGATATTTTAAATATCAATTCATTATATTTCCAGAGCATCTAAATTTGTAGACTTTGGCTTTTATTACACATCCTTCAAAAAATATATTTTTAGTAAATTACTATAAAATTCAGAAATGTTTATAGTGTAAATTATTTTCTTGGGCTTACATTCCATGAGGGATGACAGATCTGTAAATAAATAAAAAGTACATGCAAATGCATTGTAAAGATAGATTTATGGATGCTGAATCTCAAAAGAGGTGAAAGGCAACTATCCTTATTGCATGGGATAGGGGACAAAAGGTTTTCAAGGATAAAACACAAAACAGTACTCTGAAAACTGGAGTAGTTGAACACTGAATCTACCTGGGAGAGATGCTGAAGACTAAAAAGGAGATCACATTTGAGAGAGTTCTCAATAGTCAAGTAACAGTTTACCAGATAATAGAGGGAGGTGAAGAAAGCAGCAGAGGGAGCTGAGAAACAGTATTTCCTACACAGAATTAAGCAACAAATTGGTGTGACTAATACGTGAGCTTTCACTAATGTGTATGTGTGGGAATGGGATGAGAAAGTCTCTAGAGTGAGAAGAAAACAGAGGAAAGCTGACAAAGGAAGCAGAAATCAAATCATATCATATGCCATGCCAATCCTTACTGTGTCTTGTGAATGAAAGAAGAGTTTGGAATAATAAATGGGAAGAAAAAGCATAACTCATTTGACTGAATCATTGTATATGTGAGCATAGGATCCTAAATTCTCTACCATTTCTCTCTCTACCCTCTCCACTCTCCCTTAAATTCTTTTAGAGAGGAATTTGGGACAACACCACCTGAAACGATATCTGTCCATACCTTTGGACAATAGGATGCCACTAAGAACTTTAAAGCAGATAAATGAGTGACAAGATGAAATGTGTTGAGACACAATTGTTAAGGGGGGGGTGTATTTAAGAACAAAAGGATCCAAATAAGGAATGTCAATTAAGACAACACTAAAGCTGTCTGAGAGATGTCCTGATCTTAAGCAAAGATGAAGTGAAAGAAAGATGTGGGTGACTAAGAAAACCATATAAACGTTGTACTGGTAGAACCTAGCAGAATAACTGTAGAAAGTTGGGACGTTGATGGTATGAGGAAGGAGAACTTGGGGAAAATCTTGTGCTTTCTTGCTTACACTAGAAGCAGCTACACAAAATATCTAGTTTGGTTTCTAATAGCCAACTCATTTTTCTTGCATTTTCAGTTACTTTTTAAATGTAGCACAATATCACTCATGCCCAGATTTATTTTTTCCAGGCTTTTCATTTAAGACTTGGCTTTGCTGGTAAAAACCCTTTTGTTGTTATTGTTGTGTTGGCTACAATTATATTTGTGTCTCATTAGCAAGGCAGTGGGTAGCAATTTTCTTTTTTTGAAGACACCCCCCCCCCTCACTTACACATAGGATGTGTTCCAAAAGTTCACTTCTAAGTTGATTATTTGGAACCTAGAGTGCATTTTCTCATAGAAACAGGCTTCTACATAGTAATTAGGTTCCCAAGCCAGTCGACAAAGGCCAGTTTAGTTCATAATGCAACTGAACGTGTGGATTTTTTACAATGGGAATTAGGTATAAATAGTATTGTTGCCATTAAAATGAAAACAATAATTGAAAAAGAAATAGTCTAAGGTTTGGCTTTGTTTTTTTTTTTTTTTTTTTTTTTTTTTACTCGAATGGCAGTGTTTGATGAAAAACACATTTAACCCTAGGAAGACAAAGTAGAATAGATGAAAATTGGGTGCCACAGTTTTAAATATGCATTTTAAGTAATGCTTCCGGGTAAGGATTAAAATAATGAATTCAAGTTGAAAAAATATACTTTAAAAATCAAGTCACCAGTAAGTGTAATGCCAGAGAGGGCTACTTTTTTTTAACTTTTATTAATTACACTTTATTCACTTTGTATCCCCCCATAAGCCCATCCCTCCTCCCCTTCCAATCCCACCTTCCTTCCCCCTTCTTCAGACATGCCCCTCCCCAAGTCCACTGATAGGGGAGGTCTCCCTATTCTTCCTTCTGATCTTAGTCTATCAGGTCTCATCAGGAGTGGCTGCATTGTCTTCCTCTGTGGCCTGGTAAGGCTGCTCCCCCATCAGGGGAGGTGATCAAAAAGCAGGCCAATCAGTTTATATGAGAGGCAGTCCCTCTTCCCATTACTATGGAACTCACTTGAACACTGAACTTCCATGGGCTGCATCTGTGCAGGGGTTCTAGGTTATCTCCATGCATGGTACTTGGTTGTCGTATGAGTCTCTGGAAAGACCCCTGTGTTCAAATTTTCTGGATCTGTTGCTCTCCTTGTGGGGTTCCTGTCCTCTCCAGATCTTACTATTTCCCACTTCTTACATAAGATTCCCTGCACTCTGCGCAACAGGTGGCCATAAGTCTCAGCATCTGCTTTGATAGTCTGCAGGGCAGAGCCTTTCAGAGGGAGAGGGCTACTTTTAACAAGTTTACTTGTCTTAACTTTTTTCTTAATACATATCATTTTAAAGTGCATGCTCATTGTACAAAGTGATAGCTTTCAGAAAGGAATTTTGATTCATGTGTTAGGGTATAGTTGTAAAGGTCTGATCCCCATTTTTCTATCCTGTCTCCCACTGCCCACACCCTTTATTTTCCTTAATAGTTCCTCTTCTACTGACTTTTCATATGTTCACACACAAATATATACATGTGTGTGTGAAGTCTAGATTTTATTTATCTTTTCCATTTCTGTTCATTTTCCTAGGAATTTCATTATTTTTGTCTTTTACACCATTTTCCATCAGTCTAACGATAATATTTAAGATCCATGCACGTAATTAACTTCTGCTACAACAATAACAGCTCTTACTAATGAACGATAAGCAGATCAATAACCAACCAAGTTAGGAGTCAGCAATTATGCTATCAATCAGTACAACCTATTCTTAATCCCACCTTCCGGCAGAAACCGTGTCCACATTATTCTCTAAAAAAGACTTAGAAAATTGTCTTGTACGCATAATTTTACCATGTATATGCTGATTGGATTTGGATCTTTTTCTTTGTAGGCCTTATATCTGATAGCCACTAATGGAACACCTGAGCTCCAGAATCCCGAGAGATTGTCAGCTGTGTTCCGTGACTTCTTAAATCGCTGTCTTGAGATGGATGTGGATAGACGAGGATCTGCCAAGGAGCTTTTGCAGGTGAACATAAAATAGGGCAACTTAAAAAGGGAGAGTTATGTTGAGTTTTTCCATGTTAATGTGTGACAGTAAGAGATCTCTGTTGAGAGACATATAGTTACAGTTAGGCTATTGCCACTCAATTTTAGACCCTGGACAGTACAAGTATAAGCATTCATCTATTACATGATTGATTGATCATGTTGCCTTGCCTTTTAAAGAAGAATTTGCATTTTAACCTATAATTCTTTTTTGTTTTTCCTGAAATCTGATTCTTCAAAGAAAAGCTCTATGGTATTGCTGGGTGTTGTTGTTGTTCTAAACCTTACTTGTGCCTCTGGATTCTATATGCAGGTTCTCTTGGCCAGAGGTGATTTTCTACAGAACTATTTAAATTATTTCCATGACATTTGCTACTCTAATGTTTTACTGGTCAAAGCCCTTTACCTTTTGATGCCAACCTGGGAAAGTACCATGCAGTGGAGAGTATCTCTGTAACCATGTGTCCTTTTTATGGCTTTCAGGACTAATATATAGGATAGTAATTGGGGCCTGTTATCTATCAAACTCTTTACATATAGAATCTCATTCAGTTCTTAAAACTGTGTGTGGGAGTTGTTGTTACTCTATTTTGCAGATGTGGAAATAGAGGATCACACAACTCTTGAATGGCAAAAAAAAGAGCTCTAATTTGAGCCATGGATTGCCTGACTTCCCATCATACATGAAATGAAACCCAATGTAGATTATTCAAAGGTGTCTTCATTTGACAAAGCAGCACATACCCAAGACCACACAAGTGGTCTCAGTGCTGGGGACCATTTCTTTGGGATGAATCTCAAGACCTGTTGCATTTAAGATCAACTGCTTGTTTTTGCTTTGACTTTGAATATATAAACCCATTAAAGAAAAGGTGCAATACTTGGGCATTCAGAGGGATAACCATAGACTCAAATGGAAAATTCTTTTCTAATTGCTTCTAACGTTCTTTTAGAGACAAGGACTCATGCATGTCTAGGGAAAAAATTCTCAACCCATGACACACAGAGCTTTGCAGAGGAACTGAAAAGACTTCACCATTGCATCATCCCTTTTCTGCCACCTGTGAGCATTTTTCAGATCATCACAGGGTCCTAAAATATTGACTCTGTAATGATACTTTTAACTGATTCTCAAACCATTTAATTGATCTTCAAATCATAAATGCACAACATAAATATATAAGTGCTTCACTTCCACATGTTTCCAAGCCTGTCACCACATATAAATCCTTGTGCTGATAGCTCTAACACCTTTTGTCCCAAGGATTCAAAAAATACAGGATCATTAATATAACCACACAGATAAATAGAGCATAGAATCAATTACCTAATTATAATACACGGGAAACTGAATTTCATTGTTGTGACTCCAAAGCACCTGTACTTTATGTCACACAAAAGGACTTGGTTGTGGCAATTTTAACATATATTTCAAAATGCTGAATTTAAAATGGAAAGCAAACATTCTAAAGGAAGACAAATGAAAAGAAGGACAGGAGGACAGGAGGTCAGGGAAGACATCAGGTCACACACTATTGAGTTATCCTCATAAAGCTGATGATAAGTTAAAACTGTGACAGAAATGAGCTCTATAAGAAATTAATTAGCTTTCTTCCATAGCGTGGGCTTTAGGTTTTGGCCCCACATTGGTTGAACATTCCCTCAATCTCTGCACTATCTGTCCTATATACTGTAGGTTTTGTAGGTAAGGTAATTTTTGGATTGAGGTTTTTGTAGGTGGGTTGGTGGGCCCCATTAAAAGTCGTTAAGGAGAGCTGCTTTACAGTGAGCAAGAGACATCAAGGGGAAGTAAAGATGGAAAGTGGAGAGTCAGAACACATGCACCAGGGAAAGGCCTGAGGTAGTAGAATGTCACAAGTCTGCAAAGAAGGAAACAATTTAAAGGAGGAAAGGAGTTTGGCTTGCTTCAACTCTTGCAGATGAGCCAAGAGAAGTGGTGGAGACACAGCTATTGGGTTTGGCAGATAGGGAGCCAATGGTTTCAGAGTAAAATTGATTTTAATGCTCAGTTAAAGGTACTTCTTTAAGCCTGAGAGCAGCTCCAACACCATTCATCAATTTAGGAAATGCAGAGTCTGGCCTTTACAGAGTGAAATTTTCCAAGTTCTATACTGAAGAGTTTCTAGTTGTGCCAAGTAAATTTCCATATGATTTCATGATATTGAAAGACAGAAAAAGAGGAAAAAATTCTGAAGAATAAAAGCTGGCAGGGATTTTTAATTAAATAGTGTCTCAATGAGTGTTCAAAAACATTTCAATGAAAAAGGGGGAATACACTGATTCTCAACCTGTGGGTCATGACCTTTTTTTGGGGGGGTCACAATATCAGATATCCTGCATATCAGATATTTATATTACAATTCATAACAGTAGCAAAATTACAGTTTTGAAATAGCAACAAAATGATTTTATGGTTGGGGGTTCACCACAGCTTGTGGAACTCTATTAAAGGACTGCAGAATTAAGAAAGTTGAGACCCACTGGAGAATTCTACTGATTCCTCTTTTTTTCCTCCCTTTTACAGCATCCATTTTTAAAATTAGCCAAGCCTCTCTCCAGCCTCACTCCCCTGATCATCGCTGCAAAGGAAGCAATTAAGAACAGTAGCCGTTAGAAGTGCAAGCCTTACCCCTCACCTTTTCGTTAATGAGTAAGACTGAAATAAAACTCTACTGCAGAAAACATGAAAGAAAAGACAGTCAAATGGGGTGGGGGTTCTTTAACTTTCAAGTGAATAGAAACTTCTTATAAGCCTTTTTCCTACTTCCCTCAGATTATGTAATTTATTTGTAAGCCTGAACTGCAGCCCACACAGGGCAGCAATGTTGAAGTGGCCTTTAAGTGGTCACTTCCACCGTGAAGCGAAAGAGCCAGTAGTGAATCCCCTCATTTTGTGCATTTCCTTTGAAGAAAAAGATTTCTCAAAGATGCACACTCCCTCTTCATAGTGTTGTGTTTGTTTTTAAGTTAGAAAGTAGTCCCTCTTGAGTTCGAACCTCTTTCAAAACCCTTACCCCATGTGATGTTTTTTTTCACTTGCATTGTCATTAGATGTCCTGAAAAAAAGATGTCAAAATGTCTTTTTTAAAAAAAAGAAAGTAAAAAAGCAAATAAAAACAAAACAAAACAAAAACAAACAAAAATGAAAAAAAAAATAGAACAAGTGCTGTGTGAAGCTGTGGACGTCTATGCCCTAATAGAGTCACAATTATTTATTCTCCTTCTGTAGTGGTGGCTTGGTTTGTGTACCTATTTTTCTGCATTTGTATTGGAAAAGGTTTCCTTTAAGACATTTTCCAAAAGCAAAGAGGAATATGAGTGTTCAGGATAGGCTTTTAAATGTGTCTAAACAAAGCTCTAATTGTGAGATACTCTCACATTTCACATGGATACTTATGTAGTAGTTGAATTGTCATGTAAAGCAGCTTGTTGGCCTTTGTGATGACAGAAAAAGGACACACTGAAAATGTGGTGGCACTGCTGGGTGAGCCCTAAACTTAAAATATCTTGATAGGAGAAACCTTACACAAAGATGGGACTTTCTCTGAGAGCCAAAAGGAAAATACAGAACACCTAACTGGGCAGTAAATAAGCAAAAGATAATAGTGAATTGAATCCTCTCTTGTGCTCCTGTAACATAAGCTTTGTACAATAAGCACATTTGGAGGAAATAGAGCCATTAGCCAACATTCTTCAAGATAGAAGTTATTCATTTTGACAATTTGTAACACTTCAGAATTTTTTAAATATCAAGAGATTAGCGATATAGAAAGTATTCAACTGTATAAGAAATGGAAAGTTAGTGAAAGCTACATCCCCGTTAACACTTGGCTCTAAATAGTTGATGCTGATTTCCCTATGTATCTCCAATCTCTTTATGAGAGATATGATATGTTCTTATTTAGTTACTTGGGCTTTTTTCCTTTAAAAGCCTGTTCATAAACATGTTGGAGGTTCACCAAGAAAATACTTTTATCTGTATTTATATATCCCAAGAAATCATCCAACTGAATTACTTTTGTGTCTTGGGGAAAATTCCAGAACTTGGCTATTATTTCACTATTTATATTTATTAAAAATTTATTAGTTAATCTTTTTTTTAATCTTCTGAGACTAGAAAAATATCTGGAAGGTGTCTACATAGAAAAGAATACGCATCTCTTTTGAGTGTATAGTCAGTTGTATTAATTCTAGAAAGTTGTTTCTCTAAACCTTTGAAAAGCCAACAACCTATGCTATACAGCATTTCTTAATTTGTAAAGGTAGAGAATTTGAATAGAATTTACCTATATTCAGAGGAGAATGAGATCAACGGCATATGCCTCTCTCCTCTGTGCGGTACATCTGTCCATTCAACCACCCATCCTTTCCTTCAAATGAAAGCACTTTCTCTGGAGTGTCTGTGAATCATAAAGTGCATATGTTTATGTTGAGAAGGTGATACCACTGGTGGATTTGCTATTTTCCTATATTATAAAATTAAGGAGGGTTTACCCCTTCCCTGAAAATGTCCGCCATGGAATAAAAGACAAATGTGAAAAGAACATCAAGTGATTATACTAATTTCAATTTTATTGTGCAATGAAGTATCTGGACTTAAAATTTTAAATCTCACACCTCTCTAGTAAAAGAGGAGGAACCTTGATTTTTACTTTATTTTATTTTAAATTTAGGAATTTTTCCCACATGTAGTACCAGGGGATTCCACAGAATACCTGGGATGCAAGCAGAATTCCATTGACTGATGCTCTGCTAATAGAGAGAGCCCAACCCCTCGCTGGGAAGTCCAAGATATCAATTAACATCCTTTGCATGCTGTAAAGGCCTTTGTTGTTGTTGCTGTTGCTGCTACTGCTGCTGCTGCTGTTGTTGTTGTTATTTAGAAGACCCTGGAGCAATGATCCTTCAGATCACTGTTGGCAGAGAAAGGGTTGCTCTTGATGCTCTTCACTCACAATACTCACAGTAAGGGGCCAGGAACCTATTTACCATCAATTTGTACCAAGATTTAATTATCTGTTCCAGTAGCCAGTACTCATATAAAATTATGTTTATGTATATGTTCAAATGAGAACAGCTTCTAAAGTCTTGGACTTGTGCTGAAGAGTTACATATATTTCTAATAAGTATTAGAGAGAAACTGTTTTTCACGTCAAAATGATGCTGAAGGATCCATATTCAGTATACTTGAACAACTTGGCCTCCAGATGTTAATAGTTTATTTCCTTTCCTTGATTTTGTTTTGAGCTCATCTTAATCCAGGTGAGTCTATCCAGATCTTTAATATTGCTTAGTGTGCCCTGAGACATTTGTGGGCACATTTTCGAATGTTGATTCAAAATGTCCTGAGGTAGGAATAGGGCAGTGGGGAAGTCAGGGAAGGGTGAGAAGCACAGTAAAGATTATTTATTTAGGAAAGAAAGAAATTAATATTGTAGTAAAGATCCAGTTCGTTGTCATAATTCCATGAGGATTTGGGGAATGACACAACACCCCTAAATCAATCACCATATTGGGTAATGGCTTCGTTCTTGCTGATCTTGTCTATGTGTCGTTGTAAATATTTGTGCGTACATGTTCCATTTTGGCTACTGGATGGCCAAGTCACATGAAAAGATTTAACTCAAGTATTTATTCTTTCATTGTGTTATTTGGATTTCCTTCAGGCTTGTGAATTGAACCTACCATGTTTTAGTTTAACCACCTAGTCCTCACATCTATCTCTCCCCTGTGAAGCACATTCCATTGTTAAAAGAAAAAAGAAGTATAAATTGCTTCCTTTTTTGTTTAACTGTTTTAATAGTTTGAGATGTTTGTCTATAATGGATATTTCTCACCTCAAAGATTATGTAAATAATTATTTTTATTTCCGCAATGGGTCATTTATTTCTAATGAGGCTGCCAGTTCTCAGAGAGAGTCTATGAAGTCACTTTTAAACAACACAAAAAAGATTACATCTACATAAAAAGAAGTGTGCATATTGATAAAGACTGGGAACACAGATAATTGAAATCAGTTGTGTTAGGATGGTGGGATTATGTGAAAAATTTTTGTTTTGATATTTTCTTTCTTTAATATTGCTATATTATTAATTTAAATAAATAAACAACAGAAAGTGAACTATAGAAACATAGATGAGATGCCAGAAGCAGATGCCTTCTGGCCAGAGCCCAGAGCATGCAGGGCACAGATATTTCCTAGTTAAAATTATTCTGTAGGCTTTATACTTGCCTGGGTACTGAGGTTGGCACATGATCTGGTATGGCACATGCTTTCTTACTAAACTATTATGTAAGACAAAGCTAAGGAGATGTCACTGCTAGACCTCCAAATGCATTCTTTTGCTATAAGATAGGCTGCCCTCAGCTTTGGTATGGCATCCAGGTGTTTGCCTTGGACTGGAGGGCTAACAACTTGATTAGCCCCATTGATAATACTTGTGTGGATGCGGCCTTTCTAAATTGTTTTGAAAAATGTTTTTCCCCTGGGAAATAAATGATATTTTCATTTTAATTTTTACTTTTTCCTTCACAGTTTATTCATTATGTATCCCGATTGAAGTCCCTTCCTTCAACTCCTCCCTAGTCTCATGCTCCCTCCCTCTTTCCCTATTCCACTGAAAGGGGGAGTTCTCTTCCTCTGCCATCTGCCTGTAGCTTGTTAAGTCTCATCAGACTGCCTGGATCCTCTTCCTCCAGGGCCTGGCAAGGCCACATCCCCAGGGTCGAATGATCAAAGAGCAAGCAACCAAGGTCATGATAGAGCCATCTCCTGCTCATCTCACTCAAACATCCACGTGGAAACTGAGCTGTCAATTTGCCACATCTGAGCAGGGAGTCTAAGTCCTCTCCATGCATGGTCCTAGATTTTTAAAGTCAATTTTGGAAGAACAGAGGATTAAAGAGCTATCTCCCACCATTCCTTGCATAAGAAGACCTATCATTCTGGTAGGATTCTTCTTTAAATGATGATATGCAAATTCTATTGGTTTCTTTTTTATTTTATTTATTTACTTATTACAATTTGCTCATTTTGTATCCTGGCTGTATCCCCCTCCATTTCCTCTCAGCCCCACCCACTATCCCTCTTTTGTCCTTATGCCTTTCCCTAATCCACTGATAGGGGAGGACCTCCTCCTCTTCTATCTGACCCTAGCCTATCTGGTCTCATCAGGACTGACTGCATTGTCTTCCTCTGTGGCCTGGTAAAACTTCACCCCCGAGAGGGAGATAATCAAAGAGCCTGCCACTGAGTTCATGTCAGAGACAGAACCTGCCCACCCTTATTAGGGAACTTATTTGAAAACTGAGCAGAAGTTCTAGATCCTTTCTGTATGGCCCTTTGTTGGAGTATCGGTCTCTGCAGCACCCCTGGGCCCAGGTGTTTTGGTTCTGTTGGTCTCCTTGTGGAGCTCCTGTCCCCTCCAGGTCTTTCTATCTCCCTCTTCTTCCATAAGACTTCCTGCACTCTACACAAATTTCTCTTCAAATCGTATAAATCTTTTACCTTAATTCCACTGGTTTCAATACAAAATACTGTGTACAATTAAACCTAACTCTGAAATTATTAAGAGAAATATTTAATATTGTCTGTCATCATTCAGTTCCAGTCCTATTAGTTTTGGCTTGGGGTGGTCTCCTTGTGCTCTTGTGATGTGTAATTATGGCTTGTAGGCAGAGATTGTGGTTTTTAAAAAGATGGGGAGACAAGCCACCAAAAGAGAAGAAATTTCCTTCTACTCACCAAAGAAATTTTAGGTGAGGACTTCAACAACGTATGTCATAGAAGTATCTTGAAAAGCAGACCGTATCCCCAGAAAACTCCCAAATTTTACTTAGCTATTCTTAGATTATACTTAGAGTGAAGATGGAAGTCTTCACTCTGCCATCCTGGTTTAATCTTGTCTTTTTCTGCGCTTTTTGCAGTTAATATTTACTCAAACAAATGAATGGTGTGTGTGGTATAAACATCTCCCAGTCTTGGAAGACTGCAATTCAGCATTTGTAAACTGACAGTCTAATGGGCCTGGGATTTGGAATAACCTTAACACATAATACTGAACATATTTTTGCATGTGGATTGGAAAGGAAATAAATAGGGCCTTTGGAATAATGGAAATGTTTCTCCTATGAAGGAGTTTTTCATAAAAGACTTATTACTACTTTAATTTTTGTTGTTTAGCTTTTCAGTTCTATCACTTCTTTTCTGCTTCACACTCCTTTAGTGATCAAATATATCTAGCTCAGCTTCTCATGCATGGGCATGTCTATTTATCACTAAACAGTATCTCACTGAATCTCAAATGTGGGAATCATGATATCACCATGTGCACACCTCTGACTAAATACACTATCAACTTGGAGCATTGAACTTGCAAGGGGAGTTTATAAAATCTAATTCATGCCACCACTCTCCCCAGAAGTGGACATCAAGTGAATGTTGTTCTGTAATATCAACAGTATAGCAAGTACTGTGTTCAACTGATTCAGTACCAAGGCAAAAACTGGCAATAATGCCAGAAAATCAGTCAGATATAGTAGAAGTCACCATACTCAGGAAGGAGACCTAGATGTTAACATGGGCATTTTACCTAACTTGATGTGTGACCTCAAGCAAATCATATAACCTATTTATTCATTTATAAAATAAGAGTATTGAGTTAACTGCTCTTCATGGTCTTTCCAAAATCTCTGACATTGTGTAGGGTAACAGTTTGCCTTGCAAATTCAACCTGCCAAAGTGATGGCAAATATCACAAGCATAAGCCTGGATCTCTTAAGTTGCACGTAGAATTATGTACAATGGAAAAACTCAAGTAAATGAAAGTAACAGCACCAGGAAATGTTGATCAAACTCATGGAAACCTTCCAACTTCACAATTGTTTTGTTTTTAAATGTCTTTTTTCCACTTAATGTTCCCAGTTTTCATTTTCTATACACCGTATGTAAAGTCTGGTTTCCATTAAACTGTGGCTAGAATTTGCTACTAGAACAGAAATTCACTGTCACATTTCATAGAATAAAACTGTACTTGGGCCTCTCTTTTCCTATGAAGGAGTTATGGGCTTTAGTGTATTAAAGTAGAAATGGCACAAAATGGCAGAACCCAAGCATTTTAATGGATAAGACCACAGAGTGGACCTATGTACAAGTTTCAAAAAGAGCAACGGAAATACAATTGCATGCTTTTAGCTGACAAACCATTGGGCCTCAAAGAAAACAATTCTCATGGAAATTCCCATGAAACAGCAATTGGCTAGGTTTTTTGTTGTTTGTTTTTGGTTTTAGTCTTTTCTTTTTTTGTTGTTATTGTTTGTTTTATTTTGTTTTGTTTTGTTTTGTTTGAGCAAAGTTAGTTCAGTGGATGGTCCCTACTGCCTACCTACAGCAGAGTGCCAACCAGCCCTGAGTGTGAAATTCAAGTTCAATGTGTGTGCTTGTGTGTAGTGTGCTTTTTGGACCCGCATATACTATATTCATTAGTGATGGTAAGATCTTTCACCATTAATGGGTTGCATTTAAAAATCTCAGTACATCCAACAG